GTTGTCAGACACTTCTAATATCAATCTGAGCCTGTCAGTGACAAAAACACACTTTTAATGGACGTAAATCGACGATGAACAAAAGCCCATTAACATTAGTGGACTATTTTCAATATATGTTGCTCCTATTAATCAATTAGACGCAAAAACATGTGAAAATAGTATAAATTATAATAATAATAATAATAATAATAATAATAATAATAATTGAATTTAAAATGCTGAATTACGAGTGATGAATTTTCTCACCTTTCTTCAGCGCCTCCAGCAAGAAAGCCAGATTCTCTGCAAAGCTTCCCTGAAACGAAAAACAGGTATTTAGAGTATTTTATTGCATTTAAATGACATTGAAACTCTTCTTAAATACTTACAAACACTTTGTCACCGACGACGTTTTCCAGGTGGAGCTGCCGCGTTATTTCTTTCAGCGCTATTCTGTCGTCCGTCTGCAGGAGACCTGCGGCAAACAGGCAAGAAGTTAATTATCTGCACTTAAATTCAGAATAAATAGCATGAGGTCTGGTTGAGAGTCAGAGCCCGTACCGTTGAGGTGAACCTGCAGCAGGTTCTTCTGCACTTCCTGTTCCCCCAGCAGGTCTCTGAGCACACACTGGAGCAGCTGCAGACACAAAAACACACACAGACACCGTCAGACACCGTCAGACAACAGTACCCTCCCAGGATTTAAACACACGTCCGAAACAATCCATCATCTTTTTCGGACATTTTCTTTAAGCACGGCTTCAGAGGCTCACCATTGTCTTCCCCGCTCCCCTGGGACCCACGATCAGCACCGAGTTACTCTCCCCGTGGACGGCTGTCCGCTTCAGCAGCTCCAGGAGGTGTCTGGAAGCACAGTGTTGTGACTACAGTACCCATAATGCTCCTCCAGGTGTGGAATATTAAGACTTCTATGGTTAAATGTTCCCACTTAGAGCTCCGTCTAATGAGCGCAGACGATTAAGGTGGATTTCAGCACCTGGGATGCTCCTGTTGTGTTCGAGTCAGCTGGGAGCTTTCCAACCTCTAACTGGGACAGTGCTGTCAGCCAGGTAAGACTGAACTGGGTCACTGAGGCTCACACACAGACTCCAGGTCGTCTCTTTATCACAGATGACAAACCTACTACAGGTTTTATTTAGAGACTCACGGATTTTCCTCTGATTTTGTGAATCTAAAGTTCATCTTGCCCCATTTAACTACGACATATCTCTCAATGAAGAAGAGTTTGCTTGATGTGTCATTTCTAAACCTTTCATGATCTGTAAACGGCAACCTGGGCTTTAAAGGTCCAGTGTGTCAGACTCAAAGGGATTAGTGACATCTAGTGGTGAAGATTGCAGTTGCACGTCACAAACCAGTGTTTCTTGGTTTCTTGGAGACGGCTGCTAGAGCGATTTAACGCAGTGACATTTCCAGCCACGCAGCTCTTCCTCAGACTTCTGAAACATGACAGTAAGTCGTCATCTTGAATACCCACAGTGCTGCCCGAGCTTCCTCAGTGAGGCCTTTAGGAGCCTGATGTATGAGCCCAGTGAGATGGCCGCTAGCCCAGCACCTGCTAACGTCTGCTCACATTTTATCTCTTCCGACTTCAGACCCAGACGTTTGAGAGGTTTTTGACGGCAGCCGAAATATCCACAGAGGTCTCTTCCTCTCCAAAATAAACAGATTAGGTGATTTAAATCGGTAGAAACACTGAATAAAGAGGTTTCATGTTAAAAATCAGTGTTTATCCAATGGAGTTCAGCTCGTCGCAGAGGGGCAGCTAACTCTGACGACCAACGAGAAAACCTGAATGGTCATATCGAAGGTCAGTGTTTGGTTTGTCCGTTCTAGGCTACTGTAGAATCATGGCGATGCAACATGAGGACCTGCTCCTTATGTAGATATGAACGGCTCATTCTGAGGTATTAAAAACATAACAATTCTTTTAATTCAGGTGATTATACACTAAAGAAAACATGCTTTCTGTCAATGGAAATCATTCGGAATTAAAGTCTTTCCAGGTACATGGGAAATATTCATTCCGAATGAGGGTTTACACGGGAGATCAGTTTAATCGCCTTTATTCGGGTCCGCGCAAGGTTTGGGGCAGGGAAGGT